TACAGAATCCTTGGGGGAAGGCTGGAGAACCAGGCTTAGAAAATGAGCAGGCACAAAGTGTGAAGGCCAATCCTAAACCAAGACCAATGCCATAGAAGTTGTCAACGTGGACCATGCTGTCCTGCTGCTGGGCATTAAACCCCACTGGACATTGCTGCCCATGGCTGCCCCTGCAGAATGGACATTGCTGCTGTCTTTGCTGTCACCATCCAAATGGCTGATCCATGATCCCTTCTTCTTCACCTAATTAGTTTCTGATTCTAAATCCCAGATGCGTGCATCTGACAGGCCATGCCTAGTGTGGGTGCTTAGGCTCTAGTGGCAAGTGAGGCTGGAAGAGTGAATACCAGTCCTTTTCAGCTTCTATAGGAAGAGATGAGTATTGTCTCCCCCAATTTCACAAACATAGAAAGAAAATTCAGATGCTCTGCAGCCAAAACGATGTCTGCCACAAGGGGAGGTGGTATTAAGTCTGAGACTGTCAAGGTCTCCCTATATAATCTTCAGAAATTAGAACCCTAAAAGTCATTTGACATCAAGGTCAAATCTTCCTAAATAAAGCCTTAAACTACAGCTCCCTCAATTTTTATTTTTTTTTTTTAAAGAAGGGGTAATTTTCAATCATCCAAAGATTTGGCTCTTACACTACGGAGGAAAGGGGAAGAAGGAAGAAAAAAATGCTGATTAAAACTATTGGGGACAGGAGAAGTTCAGGGTCCTGGATGGAGAAGAGAGCATAGTTGCCAATTTTTCACCATAATCTGCCATTAGCCACCAGAGTATGTGTGTGGTGGGGGAAGGGTAGTGTAATGGAGGGATGGGAAGGCACTGAGCCAGGCGGCGCAGAATCCCAGCCAATAGAGAAGGTGAGGGTGTGACCTGCAGCAGGGGTGAGAAAGGCCATGGTGAGCTTTGGGCCACAAGGCGTGGTGTCCTCAGCAAATCTTGAACATCTGGGTGCCACATACAGCAGGTTGAAGAAAGAGGACAAATTGATGATATAAGGCAAAAAAACAAAACAAAACCGCAGGAAGGGTAATCTAATTGTGAGACAGGCCAGCTGTCAGGATGAGAAAATTTGCCAATGTGTCACTTTGCCTAGAGCTGATAGAAACCCAACACTAATTAGCTTAAGCAAAAGAGAACTTATTGGAAGAATAATGGGGTGCCTCCTATAACTGCCAACAAAGGGGGAAAGGGGCAGTTGTCCCCCAAGAATCAAATGTCCCCAGGACACTCAGTCTCTTATCTCTCTTAAGAGAGAAGGCCTCACTGCCTTGAATTGCAGACCAGACCCTTTGGCTTGGTGGGAAACAGAATTGCTCCCAGGGCCAAGGTCCTGCCCTGTGGATTCCACCCCCAGAAGAGCGAGGGCCCTCTTCTTTAAGTTCTAATTCTACAGCAATACCCAGGTCAAGTATCCCAATTTAAGGTTCTGGCCACTTTAAAGAGCAGTTACTAGTTGTGGACAAACTGCTAACATTTCCCCCTATCCCTAGGGTGATTGATTATGGATAACAAGGTGGTCCTGATTGATCTGTCTTGAGTTCATTTCCCCTGAACCTGTCAGCTTGCAACAGGGCCATGTAACACGGACAAGGCTGCTGGGGTCCCCTCCCAGTGAGTCAGAGCTGTTCTCAGAGAAGGGAGGACCACTGTGAGCTTGTTGTTGTCTGTTACATCCAACAATCTGGATGGGAATTTGGGCAGAGTGTTTCCCTGGCAGGAAACAGGTAGGAGCCATCCTATTAAAAATCCTTGATGGAATGGACTTCATCACACAGTTGTCTGGATATTTTACAAACAAAGCCTCAATTTGTAGACTGGGAGTAAGTCAGCATGATTTATGTGATCAGAGGCCATCTGATGTCAGCTACCTTTCCCAGCCTGGACTAGCTTTGCTGGATCCAGACCCTCAAGAGAACAGGTTATGATATTACATTTGTAGTTCTTCATGCTGGTAGAATTTTCACAATTACTTTATAAGCAAAAGTGGGTAATTCATAAGCACTTGAAAAACTGTAGTCAAGTTTATCCTTCAAGGCTCATGAGAACTGAAACTGGCATCTGCCTCCTATGTTATATGGGCTACCAAACATTTTATATGAAGTGATGTTTTCAAGACCCAGTGACATGCCCCCTCCAACTCTATATAATGAGTCAAGTCTAACAGCCTTCTTCTGTGGGAAAATAAAGCTACTGAGTGGATTCAACTGTCATTTGTTACTTAAAAATGCCTCAGGTTCATCCTTTTTTTTTCTACTTTTACTGAAGCTTCTGACTTTTGGACACATTCTTTTTTTAAAAAAGGTATTTTTATTGATTTCAGAGAAGAAAGAAGAGGGAGAGAGATACAAACATCAATGATGAGAGAGAATCATCAATCGGCTGCCTCCTGCTCACCCCCTACTGGGGGTGAGCCTGCAACCTGGGCATGTGCCCTGACCAGGAATCCAACTATGACCTCTTGGTTCATAGATCAATGCTCAACCACTGAGCCACGCCAGCCAGGCTGGACACATTCTTATTATTAAAAAATGAAAGCTCTGTTCTTTTAGGGATATATGTCAACATGTCAGCTGCCTTGTCACATTCTTTGCTAATGCCAACATTATCAGAATTTCAAAAGCTGAAGCAAAGAATTGCATCTGAAATGAATGCCACCCTGAGCAGGACCAGCTGAGGACCAGAACCTTCTGGTGGAGAGCATGTAAATCCCTTTACAGTTTGATCTTCCTCACCCTTTCCCAGCCTCCAAGGCCAAGGGGAACAAAGGGGGAGTCATATTCCCAGGCACAAAAGCTGCCTGCCTCCACACTTTTAGTACCAACACCATGCTTTCACTTCCTGCCCCCACCCTGACAAAGCATTGTCTGAGAATCACTTTACTGCCACCACTCGCCCCTCCCCACCTTCCCGTGTGAGAAAAAAGCAGATTACACATAAAGGTGTAAATACCATGCCTCCCCATTGGCTTCCTGGCACCCTCCTGCTCAGGCTAGAGATTTGCAGTTAAAAAACCAAATGTGTTGGCCACCTCATAGTCAATAGCTATCATCAATAAATTTAGTGTGTAGGCCCATGAATATAAGCGCATTCCATGCATGTGTCCTTGTTTGGGGATTCTCTTCCATGTTCACAGTAATGGTGAAGTTAGGAAGCTTTCATATTGGACATTTTTATATCAGGAGAAGCACGGGAATGTCTCTCGGAGCCCGCATTTCAGAACAGTTAGCAGCAGCATGTAGAAAAGTATGTAAGAAGCGATTTCATTTCCATGGCAGCCAGGACCCAGACGCCAAAGCTTTATAGATTAAAATCAATGCCTGAATTACATTCCGAAAGCCAGAATTGCCTGTCAGACTTCAGGACCAGCAGCGCCATGTGATAAATGAGGTGAAGAGCCCCATCCAGGCTGGGGAGTGCTGCCGCATCAGTGAGGACTTCTGTGTCTTTTTCAAAGCAAATACCGAATGGAATGAATTACTAGGGAACAGCAAATGAATGTCAAGAATTTGAGATGCAGAGGTTATAATTTACTAATTACTGGGAAAAGATGAACACAAGTCAATGTGTGAAAGAATGTGATGGGGTGAAGGGTGGAGTCGAAGAGACAGAGAGTTTGCAGGGCATGCAGGAGGCTCCTATTTTCTGTTCTGGTAAAAAGAGATGGATTTTAGAGGCATGGATACCCGTCTCAACTCCTAGCTTGGTTATTTCCAGCCTATGTCATAAACTGCAAAGAGCATTAAAAAAGAAAAATATATACAAACACCTAGTCTAGCACCTGGCACATAGTAGGCAGTCATTAAATGTAAATCCTCTCCCCAGCCCCCTCCTATTCCTGTCGTATTTAGAACAGGAATGACATTAAGACAACTGACGCTGCTCAATGATTCAGTGTTAGAGAATGGGCCCCGCTGCCTCCATAGCAGATCATCAACATTGAAAGACGGTAAAGCAGGGATGGAATGATGGAGCACTGAGAAATTCACAGAGATGCCTTCACAAAGACTGGGCTCACTATAACACCGCATAAATAATATAACTTAAGATGCTGTTTTCTGCCTATTGGTGCAAATCTGTCCAATGACAAAATAACAACCCATAAATTTATTTCCCAGTGTTCTGGCATCTCTTTGGTGACACTAATACATTCCTGGAGCCCAGTGGGAGCTGGGTGCAACAGTCCATCACCCTGGTGCTCCTAACAGCATCCAGCAGCCAAGATAGGGACTCCTGGGGTCTCCTCTCTGCCACAAGGAAGGGATAGGAAGGATGCCGTCTAGAAAGAAACCATGGAGTAATAAGTAAGCAAGACCTGGGGTGGGAGCCCAGAGATGGAGATGCTTGTCCTGGCTCACCCATCAATCAGTTGTGACATGACAGGCTCAGACCAGAGCACTATTTTCCAACCTGTTCTTACTAGTTCTTTAGGAGAATGTAATGGGAATAGCTTGGGTCCCTCTCCCCTCCCCCGCAATATCCACTGTTCCCTTCTTGGTAATATTACCCTTGATTTTAGCTGTGAATATGGCTTCTCAAAATACAGACCACATTTCCCCACCTTCCTTGCATCTTTGCCATGTGACCAAGTTCTGGCCAATGAGATGAAAGCATAGTCAGTGTGTGCAACTTCTTGGAAGTGTCACTGTAGAGTGTATATATCCTTCTCCTGCCTACCCATCTCCCCACAGGTTTTTATGCATTTGTGAAGGCTGACACTGGAGTAGCCACCTTGACCCTGATATGAAAGCCACATGCTGAGGAGGGTAGAAGAACAGGATAGGAGAACTGGGCCTCTGACATTGCTAGGAGCCATGTCAACCCTAGACTATCTACATTTCTTTTATGTGGGATGGGAAAAAGTCACTGTTACTTTGAAATTGAACCTAATCTTAATTATTATAGATGATAATCGATGTTCTAATAAAAAGGGTTCTTTGTGCAAATAAATTCTGGAAATTCTGTGTATTATCGACCCTTCTTACAGATTTGTGATGCACCTTAGCACAGGCTCTAAGCGGTCCTCTATAAAGAATGATAGCACCTCCTATGCACCTTTCTCACAAGGTTCCCTAGACCCTTACAGTTCAGAGTGTGGTCCATGGACCAGCAGTATCAGCATCACCCAGGAGCTTGTGAGAATGCAGAATCTCAGGCGACCTGGACCTACTGAGAATCTGCGTTTTAAGCAAGATTCACGGATAATTTGTCTACACATTAAAGTTTGAGAAGCACTACTACCGATTACAATGTGGAAAACTGTGTCCTGTGATCCTAGATTCTGAACCAAAAGGAGCCACATATTATGGGGGTATCTGGAGCCCCAGGAGCAAAGGAGCAAGCATGAGAGATTCTCACAGCTACCAGCTGGTCCTACCGGTAAGCTAAGCAGGCCTCCTGACAGCCACTGTCAACTCCAAGCCTGGATCTGCAGGGGAGGTGAGAAGGGACCTCCAGGAGACGCAGTGCTTCCTGCCAGAAGCTACAGGAGTAGTTCAGAGACAAAGCATCTGTCAGTCACTTTCTTTTCTTTTCTTTTTAATATATTTTAATTGATTTCCAAGAGGAAGGGAGAGGGAGAGAGATATAGACACATCAATGGACCAAAGGGTTCTGGGTTTGATTCCTGGTCAAGGGTACGTACCTTAGTAGCAGGTTCAATTCCTGGCCCCAGACCAGAGAATGAGAGGCAACCAATTGATGTGTCTCTTTCATGTTGATATTTCTCTCTCTCTCTCTCTCTCTCTCTCTCTCAACTCTCTCTCTCTCTCCCCCTTTCCTCCATGCCCCCTCCCTTCCACTCTTCTAAAAAATCAATGGAAAAAATATCATCACTCCTCAGGTGAAGATTTAAAAAAAAAAATTCTAGAGATTATTAGTTAGCTGGATTTTCCTTAGTTATCACTTGCAATGGGGAAAAGAGACACATTAAGCATTATCTATAGGTCTGCTTTTGAAGCTTCTGAAATTCAAAAGGATGGAAATACTTTCTGTAATTCTTGTGATTTCACTGCCTGCAGCCTCACAGCCTGCACGGGTGGGGGGCAGGGAGAGGAGAGAGGACAGTTAAATAAAAACAGTTCTATTTTTGGCATGCTTTAATGACAACCTCTCTTCAAAATATTTTTCATGCAATGCCTTTTCTGTTCAGTGTCATTGAAAGTGTTTTTAATTTCAAAGAGAGGCTGTGGCACAGGATGCTAATCAATGAAATCCTGGCATGCTCCTCTGTGAACGTGGCTCATTACTTATATTTACCCCTGACAGAGATGAGTTCTTAAACCCAGGCGATATTATCGTTCATGCCTGGTTAATAAAGGAAAAAACAAATGCTGCAGGAAATTCACCCTGATGCTGGGGGGAGGGAGAAGGACCCATCGCTGGGATATTTCATTGTCTCCAAGGCCCTCACTTGAGCCACAAGCAGAAATTTGAGGCAGAGAAGGCAGAATAGCAGAGTCGTCTGGACTGAAAAATAAGTTTCGGCTGAAATGCTGGATAATGGTATTTATGTATTCCTTGCTTGCAGGTTTCCGCAATGCCTTCTGTTCTGTATGCAGCAGGCAATGCCAGCGTCTTTGTTCCTCTGAATTCCTGTCCTTGGACACTGCCAGGATTTAGGGTGGGGTCAGCCCGGGGCCATTTTAGCCCCAGTGAAGGTCTGCTTTATTAAAGGCCTGCTTGGCCCTTGCCTGTGTACTGCAGCCTAACACAACACTTTCTTTATCTCTTTTTGGCGCTGCCCCAGAGAGAGCAGGGAGACTTGCTGCTGCTGGGATTCTAGTTCCTATCGCCACCAGTCAGTCTTATAGGGTTTAGGGGCTCAAAACGGGGAAGAGCCAAATTGGGATTAAATCCTATATATTGAAATTTAAAGTGACAACAGCAATGACAATGATGATGGTGGTGCTTTGGATCTGCCCTGCGGAGCTGATTCTTCCCTATGGATTTTATGAGGAACTCTGCTGTATCATTCCCCCATCCCCACCTCACCCCCACCCCCTGCACCTGATGATAAGAACTATGGCAGAGCTGACAGACGTGAGAAGTGAAGACTGTGAGCATGCGTGGAAGGGTGTTTCCCTGGGAAAACGAACTGATAACTGGGGAATGCATGCTCTGATTTTATCTGAATTATTACCATGTTCTCACCAATTTATCAGGTCTAGATAGTCACTAAGCTAGTAGGTGGGGTCAACTGTAAACAGAGCTAGTTTCCTGAGCATGCGACCTCTGCAGTTGCACGGGGCTTCGTGCTTAAAAGGGCCCTGCACTCAGTCAACGCTCTGCTGTCATTGTCTTGAAATTTCTTAGTACTTTGTAAACAAGGGACCCGCATTTTCATGTGGCACTGGACCCCACAAATGCTCAAAGATCTGGCCTGACTGCAAGACCAGATCTTCGAGCATTCCCGAGTAAGACAACCATGTGGTGGAGAGTTCCCCTGTTAGGCTCCCCAGTGGTATTCCAGTTTTCAGGGGATTAAAGGAAGCATATGACGCAGTGACAAGTATGAATGCTTGCAGAATCCTGAGATCTGTTCACAGTGGAGGAGCTGAGCTCACTGCTTCTGTGCCAAAATGTGGTGTAGCCTTGAAATGACCGCCCGGCAGAGCTAGACTGTTCACAGAAGAGGGTGATTGGCAGTGGCAGATGCAGCTGTGAGGTCAAGGAGGGGGAGTATAAAGAGGCTTTTGAATATGCCCTTGAAGATGTAACTGGAGACCTAGAGAAGCTGCAGAAGTGACTGGGGAAAGCTGGCTGGAATTCAAAGGAGAATTCCAAAAGTGGATTTGGAGATAGCAAGCGCTTAAGGAACACTTTTGGGAGAACATAGTGTGGATGAGAGTTGGTGAGGGCTGAAGATTGGCAGGCAGGTGTCCTACACCAGCCTGAAGGTCACTGGGAGGGAAGTGAGAACAGGGTGAAGGTGTGATGATAGAGAAAGGGAAGGAGAACAGGCCTGGAAGACTGGGGTTGCAAAGGGAGGGTAGAGAGGGAATGGATATGGCAGAGGACCCACAATCCTTACCACCTCCACCGCCCCAGCTCATAAGATCCCGAGCACAGTAGGAGTGGAGTGGAAGGAAGGTGTTAAGCAATGCTTCTGAAATCTGGTCTGGGTACAAGTGCATCAGAATCATTTTCTGGTGCTTGTTACTAATGTATTTCCTGGATCCCCCTCTCCCCAACTCCACTAACAGAATCCCTCAGGGCCCTGGGGGTGAGAGGGCAAGAATCAGCATTTTATACTGGAGTTCCCAGTGGTCCTGATGGTACCAAACATTTGAAGACCAGGAGGAAGGGGAGTACAGCTGCAAGGGGGTGGGGGCTGAGGGGTGGAAGTGGGGGCAGCTAAGGCTTTACTGTACTACACAATGATGCAGAGGTTGGCTCAGAAAGGGAGGGTTTGGGGCACAAGTAGCCCAGGCCCTCACGTGTGGGTGCCTGCAATGTACATCTGTCACAAAGGGAGGTTCCTGATACAGAGTCCCCAAAGAGGCCTCCTGCCAGTCAACTTCCACTAAGTTCCTGAGGATCGTTCTCTAGTCTACCTTGCTTTTGCTTAGAGGGAGTCAGTCTAAGGAGGGTCCAAATAACTCCAGCCCTGTGAGGGTTGCTCTTAGTGTAAAAGGGAAGACCAAGTGGGCTGGGTTTATAGAGCATGCCCAGCACTCAGCTTGGCTCTCAAGCCAAACACTGTCATCAGGTCACTTCTTTCTTAGTCAAACTCTCCTCCTTAAACACACAGGAAACTTAGGGGCTTCAGCATCACCAAAATCCCTTCTTGTTCTGGGTCCCGCCGAGATAAACTTGATCTCTCCTTAGGCCACAGATTCTGTGAGCCGAAGTTGACAGGATTTATTCCCAATTCTTACATTTGGCCTCTTACTCAGCTTCCCTAGCCACTGGCTTCCTCTTCTCCTTAAGATTCCCTTGCAAATCCTTGTCGAGTAATCCCCGATTGATGTCTCACTAATCTACTGATGAATCCTTCCAGACAGACCAGTTTTGTCTCTTAGCTGTCTGATCCCCAAAGAAATGTCTCAATGTACCAACCATCTCACAGTTCCTGAATGTTTCTGACAAGTTTTTTCTCAAACTTTAATATGCAGACAAATCACCTAGGAAAACTCATTCCGATTTAGGGGGCCTGGGGTGGGACCTGAGATTCTGCTTTTCTAACAAGGTCTCAGGTAGCCGCTGATGCTGCTGGTCCACACTCTGAGGAGCAAAGTTTTATATGATAAGTAGTTCAGAATTCTCTTCAGTCCTGCTCCACTTGCTCCAGTTTTTTTATAGTCTCATTTTTTCTGCTTTAAGCATAGGATTAGGAAAATAATCTTTGGCGGTTACAAAATAGTCACAGGGATGTAAAGTACAGCATAGGGAATATAGTCGGTAATATCATACTAACTATATATGGTGCCAGGTGGGCACTAGACTTATCAGGGGGTGTACTTTGTAAGTTATATAAATGTCTAATTGCTATGCTATACACCTAAAACTAATATAATATTGAATGACAACCGTAACTGAAAACTTTTTAAAGAAAAATAATCTGCCATTTATTTAGGTTTAATTTTCTTGCTTCTAGACAAATTGATCTCCCCAAACTCGCTTCAAATGGGTGAAGCTCTGAGATGAGGCATTGGCATCCCATACACAGGTTTCTACCATTTCCTTTGCATTATTTCCTCGGGACTCTATTGAAAATGTCTTGTGCACCAGGCATAATGCATTATTTAGAGAGAACAGTGAACTGACATCAAGCCAGCTCCCTCCAACACTGGATAACACAGCAGCAGAAGTTCCCAAAGATTGGCCTCCGGAGGCTGAGTTCTGCAGGCCCTGGGCTATTAGTTGAGTTGATCTCATATACTCTGTCTCCACAGTGCTCTCATCCAATCCCCCTCCACCCTCACATTAGCAATTGATAAGTAAAAAGGAGCCATTGCTAGAACCCCTGACTTAGGGGGGAAAAAATCATACTTTTCAACTGGTAATTAAGATTCAAAACATTTATTGCTCATAACATTTACATTTGAAATGCAGATGTCTTTATTTTTATACTAGGTGAGTGAATTGAGTGAGTCATCTCTCTAAAAATAAAGTTTTGGAATAGTGACAAATGTATCACGATCATAATATTTGAGGATGGGGAAACAGTTATTATTGAACATATACCCTAGGTCTTTCCTACCATAAAACCTTCTACTTGTTAGGATGATCTAGACTTATTTAGAGGCATCTTCATCCCTACTTTCTCCTTAAGTGTCTTAAGTAGGCATCTGTTTTCATAATTTCACTGAACTTGCACTTGTGGGGATATAGACCATCCCTCAGTCCCTGGGTCTAAGTCAATTTGCTTTCCCTCT